TGACTGTCACCTGACATCCAACAATGTTAGTGGTTATCAGCTCGGATGGAGCTCGGATGACAACAATGACCTCACCTAGATTAGTGCCTATCAACTTCGAATCCACAGTTCTCACCAGATTACTGGAGACGTGGTATAGAGTCAAGAGTACCATAAGCGGGAATGTTCGCTGCCTTGAAAGCAGACCGAGAGCAGTGCGGCAACAACAGACAGAAGTTACTACCGGTGCTCAGCCCACCATCCCAAAGCCGACACGCTGAGAGTAAGACCGGTAACCTCCACCTGGGACTGACCGCTCCAGTCGACCGGGACAAGACTTAACTGAGCCAGTTCCATTGGAACTGACCGGTCAGTGAAAATTCTCACATGCAAACCTGTACCACCAGTTGACCCGGAGATATCTCACGTTGAGAGGGGCACTTTCAAGCGTCTTAACAGCGAGGTGAAAGGACTCCGAAGTAAAGTGTCATAGCTTCGATTCCTCTGTTCCGACCTCGTCCTGAAAATCATAATCTTGACGGGAACCTGGTTATCACCGGACATTAGTGACACCAAAGTTAACCTAGATAGGATGTTTCTGTTCAGGAGGGATGGGGGACATGAGGATGGAGCGGGGCCGGAATATAAGCGAACAGTTAGTTTGAAGGTGAAAAAAACAATGACACTGTACCAACAGAGCTCCTAGACTCTATCTGGTGCTAGCTGACGGTCAAACAAACCAAGTGTCCAGCCGGAGGAGTCAATAGGCCCCTAATAACAATGTAGAACAGCCAAAAATTACTCCAAGTAACAGCCACGGCGTCGACCACAGGGTATGACCCGATCCTAATACCTGGTGATTTCAACGCTGCAACTCTCAGATTAGATCAAGGCGGCACGACTCCAAGACTGAAGTTCCGTTGCAACCTGCTAAATGCCATCCAAGTGACTGGACTGTACATAAAAATTAGCAACAACACCCGCTGGGGGTTAGATGGTGAAGCATCTACACTCAATTACCTGCTGATTAAGGATCACCCTCTGGTTGGAAACGCCCAAGTCAAAACTCATCTTGGAAGCAGCGATCAAGCTATGGTGGTGTTCGACCTGGTAATCGGCGAACAATTATAGCGGGAGGGAAGTCGCCCTTACCTCTGACACAACTGTAGAGGAATGAACCAAGGCCTATCGAGAGCACATGGCCAGTAGACTGGCGCTCCACAGCGGTTGACCAGCACCCGGAACTAGTAAGACATTAATAAGGCGGCGGTTTCTGAAAACGCCCATCGGTGGGAGCAACACACAGAAAGCTGACTTTATGGCAAAAGCGAAGCACTGAGCATCTCCTGAAAGTCAGGAGGAAAGGCATGGCACAAATGGAGGCTTTGTAGAGAAGAGGACGATCACGATGCATATGTAGCTCTACGAAACCGAAGAAACATCAAGACCCAAGGAGACAGGAGGTCATTCCAGTCCAACCTCATCTAGAAGCCTGAGGCAAACCACGAAAACTTATGCCCGTACGGGAGTGCGTCAGATTGACACTCAGATAGACATCATTTTCGGGAGGAGGATGATGTAGTGCTCAGTAAACTTGGCCATGAATCAATTAGTAAACCTCCACAGACCTTCAGATAGAACTAATATAGCCGTCATTCGGGAGAGTCACGTTCATGGTGTAAACTTCTTCACTTCAACCAACCTCTCTTAAACTTTAATCAGAAATCCCACCTTAGAGATCACCCTTCCAGAGCAGATCATGACAGAGCACACATGACTGTCCACGCCGAATCATTTTGCGATTAGGCTGCGTAGACTATCAAGCTCTCTTCCGTAAGAGTTTGTCACAGCCACATCTGATGCTTTAGAAGGGAGATTGGATGAACATGTAGAGTCCTGTGGTACGGGTGAGACATACTGAGGAAGCCGACCGCCCTCTTGCCATATGCACAGGGAAACCAGAAATGCGTGAACAAAAAAACTTGCACAACTTTTATTGGTACCTTGTTCTAAGCAAGTGACTGCCATAACACTGATCTTCATCTCTATCTCATTATCAACAATTTTGTTGCATTTCACGATGTATTTTAATGGCACTCATTTTGTTCCCATGCTTCTTTTGACCATGCTTTGACCTTAAAGTCATTCTGACATGTTATGCAAATTTATATTCTATCCGACTAATTGTGTTGGTTTTCGGGATCGTTTGGGATTAATTTTCACTTTGCACCACGCCTGTGGATTTTTAATCTTCATTCAACCGACCTGCGTAACTAGGCCTGATTAAATAACTGGTCATTCGATTATCTGTGTTGCTCGGGTTTCTCTGCATCAGGAGGATAAGTGACTGTTTCAGAAAAAGAGCACACCATTTAGGCACGCAGAAATCAAGGGATTATTGTTCGATATTTAACAACTCAGTGTTGGGTGTTTGTTGAAAATGGTGGGAAATGATTTCCCAGTGGGTTAGAGGTATCACGAAGGCGGCAATCTCGCAAAACGCCCCCTTGGTGGTAACAACACCCAGAAAGCTGACTTTGTGGCTAAAACGAGGCACTGAGGGCCTCCTAAAAGCCGAAGGAAAGGTGTGGCACACATGGAGACTGCAGAGAAGGGGACAATCACGATGCATATGTAGCTCTACGAAACCGAAGAAACATCAAGGTCCAGGAGACAGGAGGTCGTTCCAGTCCAACCTCTTCTAGGAGCTTGAGGTAAACCCCGAAAACCTATACCGCGTCATGGTAAAGAGAAAGCCGACAAGCCAGGGAGTATGCGCCGCAAAAGGTCCGAGCGGAGAAGACCTCTCTGGGCAGGAGATCACGGAAATGTTGAGCACCAAGCTTAATACACAGGTCAACATTCCATCGGGAAAGCACGCACATCTACTGTTCGAACAGCCCCAACGTTATCCAGTGCTGCAGAGTTGCACGAAGTGCAGTTGTTCTCGACAAGGTACCGAGGCCAAGCGCCGAAAGATCCCCAGGATGCGGCGAAATTCTCCCATGTGTCGAAAGAATGTGCGGGTACCCTAAGTGGCCCACTCTATAGTCTCTACCAACACTCCGCAGATAGACAAAAGTTCCCGAGAGAGTAGAAGGGGGCCGTTCTCTCTCCTATTCTCAGAGGAGGAGACAGGGGGAATCCGAACCGTTCCAGACCCATAACACTTCCACCAGTAATATCAAAAGTCATGGAAAGTGTGATAGACGACCGCATCAAGGAGTATCTGGACACGAAGTGAGCGCTCAGCGATGCTGAACATGGCTTCCGAAGGGGTAGGTATTATGCCTCCCACCTCCCGACGGCCCATGATCACTGGATAGATGTTGGCATCTGAAAGTCCCAGTCCACACGAATTTTCTAGATTTCACCGGAGCCTTTGGCACTGTCTCGTACACCATCTTACTACACAAAATGGCTGAGTTAGGCATCCGCGGCCGGGTGCCATCGTTGCTGCAGAAGTACTTAGGCAGTGGGGAGTTGTGCATGAAAGTCAACAGGGTTTAATCGACTTGGAGGACATCATTGTCCGATGTTTCACAAGGGGCAATCCTGGGTCCTCTGTTGTTCCTACTGTTCATGAATGACCTTCCGCCGCATATTAGCTCTCCACGTCTCCCCTGCGCTGAAGACGTCAAGTTATGGAGGGTGATAACTTGTGGAGCGGAATCAAGTGAACTACAGAACGACCTGAAAACACCAGAGGGATAGGCAACAAATAATGAACTGGCACCCAACCTGGATGAGTCCCGTCCCTGTTTTCCCGCTCTCCTGATGCCCAAAAAGTATCCTACTCTCTCTGTGGTTCACGTCTATCCCATACCGCAACGGAAAAAGACCTGGGTTTAATGGGGACGGAGAATCTGGACTCCAGTTCCAGTTACCCAGGCGACGCCACAAAAGCATAAGGTGTACCACACTTGGTGCGCGGACAGCTAGGTGCCCTCACCCCAGAGCTCTTTCTGAAGCTCTGCAAGACTTACGTACGACCCCACCTGGGGGTCCAAAATGTCTCTGCTCCACCACAGCTGAAAAGAGAGATGAACCAACTGGAGGAAGCTCAGAGGCGAGTCACCAAAGGGGTTGTTGAGATGCAAGGAAAACCATATGAGGATAGACTGAAAGACTTAGGCCTATACTCTCTTAACTACTGAAGGTTGCGAGATCACTTGATAAAGGCTTAGAAAACACTGAACAACCCAAGGCACCCAAACAGAGGATTACTACCGAGTGGTCACCATGGCTATCCTCGTGGAAACCTCAAGAGAATTGCCCACCAAAGGTGAAAAACTCATGTGCGTCCACCCTTCTTCTCCCTCCGAGTCTGGGGACACTGGAATGCATTACCAGCAGAGGTGGTCTCCGTCTCACCTATTGAAAGCTTCAAGGAAGGGCCAGACAGTCACACAGAGACCCACGGCTTACCCACATATCAGTGGAACACGAACTAAACAGAAGAAATCAACTAGTGTCACGCCATCCCAACCATTTTACCCCCACACCAGTTTTATTCCTACTGTAACCACTTAAACCCTTCTCATCCCTTCTCATCCACTTGCTAGCAGTTAGCCCCACCTACCCCAGTTCTTCATATCTTTGCACCCCTCTTTCTCTTGCTTGGATGTAAGTAGATTACTCCACTAGTTCACTTTCCCTTTTGCTCACACAAAATTTCCCTTCCAAGTTTTACCTTCCCAATCTCTAACTGTTTCCAACGATCAGTCCAAACAACTGTTTGGCAACTCGACATGTGAAGAGGCCAACTGTACCACAGTCCAAGGCGAACTAATCAACACTTAACCTCCTGTTCTGTATACCAGAGCTATAGCAGACGAGTGGCTGGATCTACTGCATCGGAATCCGCCGAAGACCTGGAAAGATTCTGAAAGACCGAGAAGCGAGCAAGAAGAAATCAACCGGCTTACACCAGCTCGTTAAACAAATATTGGGTATTGAACTTCTTTACTCAGTACCTGTGACTTGACCTTTGTACCCACTTCTAGATATGCGTTACAAAGATGTCCACGTTTACGTTTTTATCTCGTGCACTTCGGCCACCAACTAGAATTCCTGTAGAATCACCGGACTGTTGTATAAGCCTGAAGGTTTACTTATAGTATTTCATATAGAAATGTAGTTAATGCGTCTATGTGGTTTGATCTCTTCCGATTCCAATGGTGTTCATGCCTTCCGACCTGATTTATTTCGTTCTCTGCGCAAACTAGAAAACTTAGTTGATGAAAAGATGATAGAATTAGGAGCTCAGCGGATTCTACTGCCTACATTGGGCCCAAGATATTTATGGGAAAAGTCTGGTATGTATTATTCTTCATATTTATAGTTAGCAGTCGGTGGTCGAGTATGCAGAGTTGTTTATTCAAGCTGAAGGACAGATTATCTCATGAATATTGTTTGCAACCTGTAAAACTTCGATGTATCTTCATACTTTTTCTTTCAGACACACGAGGAATGTGTCACTAACCTAGTAGCTTCCCTGCAACTTGCACACAAAGACTTACCTCTCTTATTGTACCAAGTAGCCTCCTCTCAGATATTTTCAATTTAGAGATAACTAGCAAATTTCGTGATGAGCCTCATCCTAAAAATGGTTTGATACGGGACGCGAGTTTTTGATGCAAGGTATCTGATATTTTCCGTAATAAAGTTTGCTTCCAGACCTTTACACATTTGATACTTGTGCTGAAGCAGCTGGAAAGACGTATATCCGCATGAAAACTGCTTATATGGAACTCTTCAATAGTCTTAAATTGCCATTAATAATAGGTGAGCACACACGACATTGATTCATAGATGTGAAGTAGATTCCGCCTGATTTTGCAACAACTACTTTATGTTGATGACTTGTAAAATTATTGTTCAAGGTTGCTCTCTTTTCCAGTTCTGTTTGCATTTGATTCATTGTGAACAATTCTTACATAACTAAACAGACTAGTTGGATGTAACGAGGTTTCATGGTAAACTGCATGAGTATTTTGCTTTACCTGACAAGCGCTCATTTTGCTGTGCTTTTTCGTCATAGCGCTCAGGACAAAAGGAATTCATACGGACTTCGGATTATTTTAAAGCAGTTAGCGTCAGCTGGTTTGGAACCGTTATCTGCTTTCAGAGGTCGTGCTTGTTTGAGAATATATACTTAAACTGTAGAATTGTTGGCTGCGAGATTCGTCTATCCAGTTAAGGTTAAGTATTTCGCTCATTTAGCTTTCTTTGTTAATATACTCTAAGCGTTGTTTTTTTCTTGCGCAGATAGCTAGAAACCTAAAAATACTCCCTGTATATCACCCAAAACTTAGACATCGTAATGACTGGGAATCTACAAACCAGCACCTAGTAAATATCACTCACTTCAAAAGCATTCTGTGGCTGTAGCTAAAAGTTGGATTTAAGATGACTCACAATCCATGCTGTTGAAGTTAGTTTCAAGTAACGCCTGGAAGAACAGTTGTCTTGGGCTGTTTGAGTTTATTCGATTCCCAAATAAAAACCTGGTGCTAGCATTATCTGACCTATGGACCGTTATTTTGTCACTACCAAGAATAAGAGAAATCCCAAGTGAGCGTTAATACCCAGCTGTTGCTAATTTTTAAATGAACCAAACTCTTTGATTAACAACCTGAATGTTCATGCACTTAACTATTAATTTGGATCAACCCTAGTTATTTTGCTGAGTGTACTGCACTTGTCTTCTGTGTCCTACTACATGGCTGCAAAATATGGCCATTCAAGGCAAAGTAAATGAGAAGACTTCAAGTATTCGACCACCGTCACCTTCATAGTATAGGCCGTGTGCCTTAGATCCGTTATGTAAGTAGCGTAATGTCAGGTTTGAAGTTTTGTAGAGAAAATGAAGAGGTTGTGAACGTTCATCCTCTCAGACTTCTGAGACATGTTATACATCCCTAGTTATCATCAACCCCGTAGCTTTCGAAATAGAATCGAAATTTGCTCATCAATTGTCTTGTGCACATTAGTGCGGTGGACAGTGATCTACATTTAGTATGTGAGGACTGATAATCCTACCTAGTTTCCCTAGCCTCGTAGTTGGAGCTGTTTGAACTTGTGACCTATAGCGTTGATATTAGCTGAAGTAGGTTTAAGTTGGGTATGGGTTAGAGGTGCTCAAATTAAATCGTAACATCAGTTCGGGAAGTCCGTGCAAAGAGGTTTTAATTCAACATAGGACTTCGAAGGGAGTTACACTGCCACATATCACACTAGCAAGCAGAGAAAAAACGAAAAAAGTGATATCAAAGTAGACAAAGTTGTCTAAGATAAGAAACAATTTAGAAAATGTTAGTTCAAATATTGAAGCTTCGGAAGACATCGCACAGTGAGTACATCTGCGCCACCGCAACTGATTTTCAGCCATTTCATCAAGAGTCTTCAACCATTGATTCCTTTGGTTTCAGGAATCCCAACCAGGTATGTGTTTCACTTCCCCAGAAAAATATGCTCTGAATAGCCTAGTCACCAAGTTGCTATGTGAAACAGTTACAGTCGTGACAGAAACTAAGCCAATATAGAACCTCATATAGAAGTGAGCTGGTTAAAGTTTTCACAATTCACAGTAGCATACAAAGAGCAAGTAAGTATGGAAACACTGATAACAAGCCAGACATGTATTCCAGAGAAGGAAAGATCATAAAATCGATGTTAGTGCAAATGCTCGAATTACCGAAGAAGTGAAAGAGTAAATACACCTGGAAATTTATGACTGACTTCCAACCGTGTCACCAAGAGTTTCCAGCCACTGCCTCCTATAGTCTTGAGGACCCCAGTCAGCTGGTCTATACCACTTACATAGTTCAAACCAACCGTCCGAGACTTCATAGATTGGTATCACGTCTTGGTTCCGCAACCCTGAACCGTCTTCTAACCAAATACTACTTCAACTGACATTCCACATCCAGGTAGGTGGTGGCTCAGCATGCACAACACATGTCCAAACCACCTGAGTTGGTGGAGGTCCACAACCTCATTGCCTCACTTTCCTTCCTTGTCCAGTGCCCTCCGCCTAACCCCAACATCGCTCACACCGTGATTCCACCATACGTGAGCAATGCTACGAAAACACTTGTCGTCAAAAACTGAAACTGTTTCACATCTACTTTCAACGGTTATTTCTGGCAACCTTATGAACGGATTGCAGCACAGTACACTCGTCCTTCGACAGGTAGAGTTGGATATCTCGCCAGTCGGCGCCCCAGATGACGCCAGTTGGCAAATGCTAAACAAGCCTTCTTTATCGGATATGAGGTTTCGTCAACAAACAGCCCGTTCGGTGGGCTGATGCAACTCCCCAAATAAGTGAACTGGTCAACCCACTGTTACACTTCAATCCCTATCCTCAAATTGAAAGTAACTGCACACTAGTCCTGAGGCGTCATATTACATTTGACAGGTGCGAAATGCATGCATTAGTACGTCTATAACGAAAGTAAATAAGATCGGTGACAGTGAGAATCCCTGGCGGGCACCTCCAGTTGTCGTCAGTTCACATCACGACTCTACATAAGCACCTACATGCCAGCGTGAGTTCGAGTAGAAAACTTTGGTAAGCATTGTATACTTGGTCAGTACTCCCTGCATAGTCTGATACTGCCACAACACCTCATGGTCGACAAAGTTAAATGCCGCCTTCAGGTGAAGAAATGTTGCAAGTGTGAGTCACTGGCTGGAAGGTAGCTTGTGTTTGAAAACCTGTGAGAGCATGAAAACATGATCAAAGCACCCTTATTCAGCTCTGAAAGCTGCCTGTTTTTCTCGATCTCCAATTCAGTGTTGAATAACTAGGGACTCTGCAATCTTGGCACAACAACAGTTCTCTCCGTTCTCACAGAATGGAATGATCAGTAAAATAGACCGGTATTACGGGACCACCTCTGATTCCCACACACTATCCAGTACCTCCGTCACTTAAGTCAGCGATTTTCTGCCTCCAACCTTGAAAATTTAGGTGACAAACTGTCAGTTCCTGCTGCTTTGCATTATTTCAGGTTAGAAACAGACTTCTCAATTAGTGGACACTTTTGACCGAAATCTGCCTCCTAAACAGGCTTGGACTAGATGCTAGGCGTCTGAAGGGGTGGCTTTGGTCCAGTCGACGTGTGCTTCAAAGTTTTATGCCAAACTTCCTTGCCATCTGGTCTCCATCTCCTACGCTTTCCCCTAACCGATAATTGCTACCTTGACGTGGTGGTTGGGCTTGTATATCACAATGACTCAACGAGCCATGCTGGTGGAACCCTTGTTCCCTTGATATTCTATTATCTCAGGAAAGTCTGTTAGATAGGGATTAGACAAAAAGCAGTTACCATTATAGTGTAAGCTGCTACAATACGATGGGGTTGTGATGGAGAAATCTTACTGCTGACTGGACAAGTGTGTATGTGACAGCATTAAGGTGTTTCCGTTCGGTGACCAGCAGTGCTGAGCGTCCCTAGTTGTTATGTATGTATCCGTTTGCTCATCTGCTCAGCAGATGAGTGTTGTGTGATATCCGGTTAAGGAGTGCATTTCTGTTCCTGGTAGCTAGTGTTATGCCTACGCCACCGAGTGCACGACAGGTTTTCTCCGAATGTGTGGGTGTACGTAGGGTCAATTTCATATATTCACCACATTGACTTGGACAAGTCAAGTAAATTAGCGCTTTTGGGTTGTGTATATATGTTTCAGAAACACGACATACATTCACAGTTGACGGCTTCACTGTTTTGGCAAGACACGTTTGTTGTCCGACATGGCATATAATTTGGACATGGAAATCCTCAACATGAAATTTACAACCCGATTTCTAAAGGCTAGGAGTGTCATTTTACTGACTTAAAACGCTTGCGATGGTAGACGGTTGAGAAGTAAGGACAGTTATGAGGCCTAATATTAGTACTTGGAACGGTGGGTAAGGGAAGAGGCGAATGTCCTGAACATATACTATAGTTTGTTGGGTTTTGCAAGCTTCTAGAAGCGCGTGGGTTTGTAATACTTCGTCACTACTCATGCTGTGGAAGTTATTTTTACAAGTTAACAGAGGAAAAGTGAACTGCTTATGGTGAATAAGGAACACATGGGATATTTACTTGAGATGTAGCACAGGCGACCTTTTCATGGGCTTAAGGTGTAGCTTTGGTTGACTAAAATCCAGCTAGAAATTTCATAGCTCCAGTGCCGGGTTACCGCAACGCATGAAGGGTATGCTATTTTTGGGACTGACCTTTCTAAACCTCTCTTTCCTTATTATTGTATTATTATTATTAGTCCCTTGGGTTCCTAGTGGAACATAGGGCTTCAGTAGCACGTCTCCAGTGACCTCTTTCCTTTCCCTTTCCTTTCCTTAGGGAAGATAAAATCAGAGTGGTGCTACTGGTCCCCCGTCTGGATCACCTTACTGCTGTCACACCCTGTCGAGCTAGCAGTATGGCTTCGACCTCAGGCTCCGCCATCTCGTTACTTACATCATGACGCTAACCACTTTCCGTGTTGCTTTTGTCCTACAGACTTTTATGACATGATAGAAGCCAAGAGAACAATCCTTCCAATCAGCGTATCGTTGGGTTTTTGGGATATGCAAGCTCAACCACCATGTCGAGGGAGAGGCTTAGGGTGGGAAGTATTAAGAAGCTAACATCATAAAGATTGGTATAGTAGACGGTGCATAGAGATCGTGGAAAAACGTAAATTCAATATTGACCACGTAATTTTTAGAAACAGAAGCTATCAGCGTTCTTTCTTGGAGGTCTGATATTGTCAACAAGTGTTGCCTTCAAGTTGAACATCTGTTGCCACTACTTTTCCGTTTTTCATGATTTTACGAAATGCAGCACCAAGTGATCCGCTTTTAATCTGCGGTCTGAGCTGACATCTGATATAACTATTCACATAAATGTAACGTCAACGAAACCTTAAATCCTCATGTGTTGGAAAAAGTGCTTGTACTACTTAGTGACAAATATCAGTGCATAAATGAACAGTTACAATTGATGCCAACAAAGAAAACCTTTTACTTTTGAGTAGTCGATCCCGGATGATAAAAATAATAAAAGATACTTCGAAACGGGCAAACGAATGTGACAAAGTGAAAATTATGTTCAACATATCAGTGGTGTTCCATTGCTTTTGACTATCTAACGTGTTACCTTTCCGGGTTAAAAAAGTGGATTCACTGATGTTTTGATCTGTGCTATTTATGTTACTTGTTCCGATAACTACCAAGGTAGTTATTACGTACTTTTCAATCATCCTTATTATAAAATGACGAATTCATCAAGATATGTTAAGAAGGACAGTTTTACGTTGTCTGGGTAGCTTCAAATTTGTTATCGGTAAAAATCCTAGAAATTACCAGTGATAAATTCTTTTTGACTGTATTGATGCACTATAATACTGCTGTATATTTCCCATGTGAATGAAGCACCACTACGAATCCATTAATTACATTTTATTTTCCGTTCATAAGAAAAATTATGTATATATTTGCTATAGCGAAAACTTTTATTACCCTAGTCTCCGCAATCATCTTTCGGCTGTGGTTCACTGATTTCCGACCGTTGTCACAGTTTCGAACGGTACTCCTCCAACCAAGTTTTAGGCAGCCAAGTAGTATCATAAGCCTTCAAATAGTAGATATGGCTCATTGCCCACTGCACGAATATGCAAGAGGCTGCTGAAAACAATTCACGTTTTTTCACATGTCCCTCATTGCTAATTCTCTTCTCAGTCTTCTATATGCAATTGTATCAGCACTATCTTTTTTATTCTATTTTCAAGCTTGCGCTGATCCAGGCAACGTTGGAGGGGAAGTTTCGGATGAGTTTCACATCCTTCTTCTGTGGGGAGGACAAAATACTAGCGTGTCCGGAGTGAGTTTTAACACCAAAGTTTTTTGTCGCATCCTCGGAATCGCACGAATCCACATGCTGATCATTATTTAGTTGAGCCAGATTTAAGTGACTGTTTCCGTAGGAAAAATGAAATGTAAGTTCGATTTACCTAAACGAAGCAAAGACACTTAAACGCTTACAAAAAATGCGCAATACGGGATTTAATGAAGGTGAAAAACAAGTAAGGTGATAATAATGGCGAAAAGCTGTTACGTTTTAGTCGACAAAATATTAATAAATAAAGGCATTAGGAAGTACCGTTTTAATGTATAATGTTTCAAATAAACTTATGGATGTACGGAATTTTACTTTACCACTGCCTAAATTCTATTCTCCTTAAAAGTAATTACTGTTCTTTCTTAGTCTACAATTTTTCAGTGCAGTGGACGCAAAAGAAATATGATGGGGGGGGGTTACCGCGACATTCACTTTTGGGATTTATCTGATAATGTCTTAGGTTGTTAAGTTGTCTAGCTTTTGGGATCCCAGGCATAGTATGTTAACAGAATCTGACTTGCTATGAGCGTTTTTTAGTCGACTGAATGTCTTTTATTCCCTTCATTCCTAACATCAAGGAAATGGTACTCAACAGTAAAGCATCTTGTGTGACATGCGTATGATATAATTTACGAAAGTGAATCTCGTATGATTATTTATGTCTGTTAAATAACGGTCATTATCCTTAAGTTCTCCTGAATTCAACTACTACGTACATGCATTTGCTGCCAGTCAAAAACAGTGACAATGAAACACAGCCATCAAACACATTCAGCTAAGGACGTCTAAGTTTCGTTAGCTCACAGAAGAAAGTCTTAGTAAATCCCGAATACAAGTAGGCACATTCTTCGTAATTTCCGAACCACTAAATACTGTTACGTAAAATCAACACAGTCTTCTTACTGTACAAAATATTTGAGTGTGTAAATTCAGAAGAAAAGGATACTAAAAGCTCCAAACACTTACATAGATAAAAACGGTTATGGAATGAGTCGTGGAGTAGAATACGAATAGTATTTGTTTTTTTAAAGTTTGGATTAGAGAGATTTTAGGCATGTAAGACATCATCACATTTCTCGAGTTAGTGTATTCGACAGCTTAATAAAGTAGAATGTTTCCGGTGCGATATAAAGCTTACACGATTACCTCGAATTCTCATGTTAGGGGTCGGTGAATCATATACTAGTAAACCGAAATGCATGAATTTGCTGATTAGGGCATCTTATGTTAGTGAAGCGACGTACAGTAACAAAATGTTGAAAGGTGTGGATGCTCTAACAATGATTCTTCGGTCTGAGAGGTCTGTTGGTGAATATAATCAATAACTCTAAATATTGTCAATTCCGCTGGTATTGGTTTTGACTGTTACTTGACGCTACAGTGTCTTAAATTAGCATCTTCATGTAGCCCAATCTATAAAGCCCAGTCATTTTAAACCCTCCTTGGTAAATTCAGTTTTAAACTCAAGGTTAATCAACTATCACTTCTAAGTTTATTGTTGTTTTAACGTTCAATATCGCCTCCCTATTTGGGCTGAACTCATTCTCCTGCCCCTCAACTATTTATAATTTTTTCCGTATAACTTACTATAAAAAGTACTTGTGTTATCGGATTGCTATAAGTACATTAAGTGAGTTTGACAAATTTAGTTCGCTAAATTCATAACAAGGACTATTTGATTCTAAACAATGTCGCCAAACCAATTTTTCAAGAGAGTGATATTGTCAGTGATATCTTACATTAGTCATTCAATATTTACAGCTCTTCTCTTCATCGCTATCAGTAATAGGTTCATCATAAAGGTAAACCTTGAGTGTAATGCAACCACGACTTAAATGGATATCTCTAGACTAAATATATTGTTCTTCAAACCAATTTGACATATTTCAAGGGCAACCGACTGTGAAACTCATAATGTTGGTGCTGATTAGTGATGTCATGCTACTGTATAACAATTTTGATTGAGCTCATTTGCCATGATACTTTCCGTCGTTTTACAGATGTAGGAAAATTCAACCATAGTGACTGTCACTTTTCACGCTTTTTTAACAACAGCGTTTGGAAATTCGTCTTAGTAAATCCCGAATACAAGTAGGCACATTCTTCGTAATTTCCGAACCACTAAATACTGTTACGTAAAATCAACACAGTCTTCTTACTGTACAAAATATTTGAGTGTGTAAATTCAGAAGAAAAGGATACTAAAAGCTCCAAACACTTACATAGATAAAAACGGTTATGGAATGAGTCGTGGAGTAGAATACGAATAGTATTTGTTTTTTTAAAGTTTGGATTAGAGAGATTTTAGGCATGTAAGACATCATCACATTTCTCGAGTTAGTGTATTCGACAGCTTAATAAAGTAGAATGTTTCCGGTGCGATATAAAGCTTACACGATTACTTCGAATTCCATTAAAGGTAAAATACATGAAAAGGCTTCATGTGTTCGACCACCGCTGTCTTCGTAGCATAGGCTGTCTTTCGTGGTTTCTCCGTGTGAGTAACGCAGAAGTCAGGCGCAGAGTTCTAAGCAGGAGAGGTAGATCAGTTGATGTGGTTTTGAACCTTCATCGACGGAGATACATGCCTAGCCACTGTCTGCCTCGTCACACAATGTTGGGCGAAGTAGGTTCAAACTGGGAAAAGGCTTGGATCGGCCAGACTCGAACATGTCATCATCGCATAAAGTCATTGAGTGTTAGCTTGAGTCATGCTGGGAGATGCAGACTAGGCGGTTGGGGTCAGTGGGATAAGAGAAACCAGTAGTTGGAAACTAGGTGATGTGTTTCAGAACTGATGCCAATGGTGCAGATATAGACACACTATCTTGATGTTAACCGTCATATCTTTTCGGTTTCTCATTTTTCTCTTTTACTGCTTTTGACCAATATTTCATTGTTTCTTCACCTTCCATTTTATTGCCTTTTTACTTGATTTGATGTGTGGCAACGTGAACCGTTACTCCGTTATGCCTGGTTCTATGTTGATTTCGATGATGGTCAAATGGTAATTTAGTCACCGCATAATTTCATTTCCTGTTTGAAGTTTTTAGGAAGCACTTTTGCTACATACTTGCTTCGTAGTTTACTACTGAGTATTGATTGTTACATGACTTAAATCTAAGGTTAACTGCGTAACTTTGAAAAGTGAATCCGGAAACTCTACGTTCTTCACGTGCTGACTTTCGTTCAGATTGTCGTTACACATAACAGTGGTTGATATCGCCTTATTGTGAATATGGTGTAAAGTGTGAAAATCTTGACCATCACCAGTTAGGAAATAGAACCGAGTAATTACTCGCAACTTTGGTCTGGCATTGGTTGTTTCGTTTTCTTGTGGCAGCGAGAAAGTTGTGCTGTTTTGTTGCGGTCACAAGTGAAGAAACTTACTGCAAGTTATATATATTGTGAAAACGAAGTATCCCATTGAACGATAGAGTTCGTAAAGCAGTAAATTCGAACTTTTTATGGCGTGGAAATTCTGAACCATAAAGATCTAAAGCTATACTTAATAAGAGTTGAATTGTATACTAAATTTAATAACAAATAGAGTAACTGGAAATGGTACGTTGTTTTGGTGATGAAGTGGATCTTTTCGTATACATGCAATTTTTGTACGGTAAGTAGAGTGATGTTGCTGAAATTCTATCAGCTAGTGAACAATTTTTTGTTGATACGATGACCGCTTACTTTGGTGATGGAGAACTGGAATTTTTTGAAAGCACGTTTAACGTAATGTACTAAAGGTGTTTGTCATATTCATTCTTTAGCAAACAAATTCGAAAGCGTTATATAGTGCGAGTACTGGAACCATTTATTTCATTGGTAAGGAAACCCTGCTAGCGGTAAATTAACTTGCTATGGGACACATTTTGTATTTGTATCTTCTTAACTTCATTTTACATCAAAACTGGGTGTGATCAGTTTATGTTTATCGAATAGTGATCGTTGTATTCACAAACAATGCAACTTCAGTGACCAAGACCTTCGTTCAGAATTTATTGCGATTTCAAACTGGTCTAGTGGACTAATATATCTTGATAATTAGTTGAGTGCTTTTTGATATTTCATTCAGTCGATATCTAATTCCATCAATATTACTAGTTTTTTTCGAACTATTTACGATCTTGATTTCAGTGTAACCTTAACCCATTTCCCTTGAAACCTATAGGTGCAACTTGAATATGAATGCTGATCTCCGAGGTATTTCTCATTGTGGAAGAATATAATTTTAGGTAATGACACTCAGTCAAAATGTACTCTTGAATCTTGTCCAAAAGTCTTCCAGCAGGTGCAGGCAGTGGAAGTAAGTTAATCAGTATTTTCATTTCAGCGATATAAGTAGCTTTCGCTATAGTTTGCTTTTCAAATAATCGACAAAAAAATAATTTTGAATGTGATACTTGTCTATCTGAATGTAGTCAAATAGTAAAAATCACTTACGTGAACTCATTCGTTGCTACATTGTGTCGAATGCCCATATCACAAAACAGTAGGAAAGATTATACGCAAATAAAATCCTTTTGGCGAGTGTAGCTATTTCTTTTGACTATGGTAAATGAATTATGTCTAAAGCGTTGTCCTGTAATTAATACTGTCTTACCGTGACAAGTTTAAAAAGAAATTTTCTACCAGACCACTGGGATTTTGCTCGCATATTTTCTTCCTTAGACAAACCTCATACAAGTTTTGCATATACTATCCAGCCAAGGCAAGAAAAACGAAGTGCACCTAATAACTTTGTGCACACTCGTATAGTCGGGGATGATTCAAACCTATTGTATGTCGCGTGATAATACTATCTGGCTGCCCAAACATCTGAAGGTGCAGTTGGGTGCGAACCTGTGGCCAATAGATAAAGGTCGAGTGCCGATGAGCCAACAATTTGTTTTGGCAATAAAAACGGAATTATCTAAAACACAATTGCTTGTGGCTTTTTTTGAGATACTCTGAATATCTGAGGATTGAATCTCATGCTTATCATTACATTTAGGTTGCTCACTGTTTCCTGTTGGGTGAACGATATTCAAAATGCTTTGATGCTACTTACCAATCTACGACAGGCCAAAGTAAGTTGTAACAAAAATACATGTATATCCGTCATTTTCGAGAACTCGCTCCTATAAGTCTAAGCATTCCTATTGTACGTTATTTTTTCATATTCTAGGCTTCTGTTTATGGGTTGCTATGGTTTGGGAATATCACGTTTACTTGCTGTATGCATTGAACATTTTACAAGAGCCTCATTTCCTGACAAATCTGCTGAAAAGATAACACAACTTCGTTGGCCTGTTCAAATTGCACCTTACTGTGGTGCAATAGTTTTCCAAAAGGTAAGGTTACCCTCGAGAGGTTTCTTTATTAACAGTACAGTTATCGTTGTCCCGCACAGATACTGATGGAGATCTTATTAATGGCTATTATTTTGTGAGAGTGACTATACTCTTACATATGAAAATATATTTTGTTGTGAAGATCTTGAGGCTATTATGTCCACCATTGAAATGGTGATGATGGAGTTACTTGAAGTGAACTAATTTTATCAGTCACCCGGTTCACAATAGCGACTGAATCACGAATAGAAAAATACTATTAGCTATGTAATGTGACTGGGTAGGAGACTTTCTTGTGACACTGTAAGTCTCTGTGCAATAGTATGCACTCAAAATCTACCACTAATCTCTTTATATTTATTTGAAGGAAACTGCTAAGGACGCTCTCAATGCACCTGAACAGAAATCAATCCTGGATGTCATTCAGAGTCATCCTGTAACTATACAAATGCCCGGTGACATCCTCGTAGATGACCGGAAAGGACTGAGTTTGGGTAGAAAGGTTCTGGATATCAGTCGTTTGGGCGTACCCTGGATCCTCATTGCTAAGGTATTTAACGCTTTTTATGCTCAACGAATGTAGTTTGTTACTTTCCTCACCAATTAGTATTTACTTTTTAAAATAGTGCACATCAAAGTCAACATGTTTCATCCGAAGCGGGAGCAATCTTAAGTATATCACTGTAAATCTATGCATTCTCCTAAAACAAGTCATTATTATTTCACACTCTTAAAAAGGCCTATCTTTAGTTGAATGGCACATCAATAGTGAATACTATGAGAAGTCTTGGTACTTAGGACCTTTTATTAGCAATTATATGATATTAGTTGTAGAAACACTGATAACCTAGGAGCTGTAGATATTTGTTTCAATCTGGTTGAAGACTCCTCAGCAGTACACTCTTAAGACCACACGAAGTATTGAGTAGAAGATAATTAGACATCATGGATTGGAGTCGAGTCGTTAACGGCTTCCGATTTCTGGTATGGGTTGCTACATCATCGGTGAACATCCATCCTAACCCCCCTCTTAATTGATCATACCCGTAACAATTTCTCATCTGAACTTCAGGAAACCCAGTTCAGGGCGATAACATAAATTGAAATGCACTCAGCAACCATGTCCTTATAGTAGGAGATGACCCACAACTGTCGTGAGGAAGTTAATGATATTGCGTGGCTGTTCAAACTTCAGTAGATGGAGCAGGCTTCCAAACTCTGACCCCACTGGTTAGAGGTCAGGTGCCTAGGTGAATGAGCCACCGATCCAAAAAAGCTATCCCAAAAAGTGATGAAATGAGTTAGTGAGTATTTTTATTCAAAACAATGATTGCGTTCGACAAACCCACACCGACCTTTTGCTAAGTTTTCTGCTATTCAAACGAAAATATATGGAAGCAGGTTAACTATAACATTCACAATTGTTTGTTCAGAGATTGAAAATCACCTAGAGACAATAGAGAACGTATCGTGGTGTTTTGCTGGTGTAAATATTCCCAAATATTAAATTTGGGTAGTGCTAGGTAGCTATCTTATAGCAACTACGTAATCATATGTTTTCTAGGTGTTTTAGTGCTAAAAGGTCAGTGATAACTACTGTTTCCTAAAACAAATGCCGAGCAATATTAATGATCCTTAATAGAGTTTAACGTTCACTAAATTTTTATTTACAGGGCAACATGGATACATATGAATTGGTCGACGTTTATGAAGGAAGATCATGTGCAGTTACACTAGAACAAGCGAAAATTGTGTTTAATAACCCTGCCACTTTTAACTCATCCTCACTCCCATCGTGGAAAAGGGAATAAAGCAGATGCATGAAACGTGAAGTAAACATATTTGCTCTAAAACAAACAATGTGAGCGAAGAAATATTTCTAAATGGGGATTTTTGCATATTTGCTCTAAGTAATACAAACAAGTAATGTGGGCTATATATGCGTTCCGAAAATACAGAAAAGTATGCAGCAAAAATGCTCCATAATTCGCTCCTTTTATAAACATACTCAGCGCCAAGTAGATTTGACAAAATTCCTACCCTCCAGTATACTGTCCCTTGAAGCTTCATCACTACTAAGTGGAAGAGGCTCCACGAACCAGTCACCCTTCATTTTTGAATTCTGTGTTATGACATGCTTTAATTGTTTGTGTTATTTGAGCTAACGCCTAATATTTGAAGCAAACCCTTTTAACAAGCATTAGATGAGATTAACGTTGTTTTTGACGATGATAAAGCATTCTTGAGGTTTGCAAGAGGTAAGTCATAACAGGATGATAATTTAAGCGGAATAGTAGCGATCTCGTAGGCGTTGTTGCTGTGGGAACGACCGTCTTTGTTGAAGAGTTGATAGGATTTCAGCTATACACATAAATAAGAGTGGAACCAAACATATGCAGACGGTCTACAAACAATCCGTACGAGTGGTAGTGTCATTCCGAGAACAATGTTTCTTAGGCTGATGAAGTAAGAGGTGCAGGGCATTTCATTCTGTAAACAAGTTTGGTATGATTACTTCGCTCAGTTTCTTTAACTTTGACGACCCGAGATAATTATCAAGTATGATAAGGTTTTTAGTGCATTATTACGTGTGTTCCTAGTCAAGCTACTTTCACTTCTCATAGTTACCGGCATACAGTGGTTCTGTCCTATTTTCTGAATGAGATATTGAAGAAGATACAGAGAGATTAGACAATTTTAACGGTATTGTTCACATATGATAAGATTGCCATGTGAGCAATCACAGACGTTACGCGAAGCATACTAAGTAAGGGTGTCAAGTCTTTCGAAGGAGTTATTAACCTTGGCCGGCTGAGATAAAATCGAAGCTAGTGGATGTATTGTGCATGCCGATGCACCACTAATCCGATATGCATTGTTAGCTGAATATTTTATTAGCGCAATAAGGTTCAAGGTGGTCAGACAGACGAGTCGAACCAGTTCATGAAGTCTTCGACAGTTGATTTCAGTCGTGTAGACACTTGATGATGCAGCTAAGAATTGGCGACGATGGCACAGATACGTCCATTCTTGACGCCCACTCGCATCTAGACGTTAACGCAAACATTCATTTTCCAAATTCTCTCCTAGCAAATTTTGTTGGCTTTGCTTTATCTCGTTTCCTAATTGTTCTTTGTTTGCTGCTGCGGAGTGTAGCAACTTGAACCGATCTACTTTTGTGTGAGATTTAACGTCGATTTTTTCTGTTTGTCGCATTCAAAGTCAACTGGATGGTGTTCGCATGTGCTATTATAGGTTCTGAGATAGCCTTGAAGATACACCAATATTTTACATCCTAAAGGCTACCAACAGTCTCTACGGATGTATTCGCAACGAAATGTGGGTAATACTGACTCATTTCAGAATTCCGGCCACGATACACAGGAGTTTTGGTTAGTTGCGCTTAAAATAACCGGAGTGGGGGGGGGGTGGCTATGGCACATTAGTATAGGCACTTGAATCTAACCAATGGGTCACGGGTTCAAACCTAGTTCTAGCCACCGAGGTCTGGACAGCCAGGGAGCATCATTAGCCCTCACATAGTAGTTGTGACTCATTGACTACTGTACGAATGTGTTGAGTGGGATTCAATTTTTTCGTGAGAGAACAGGAAGACAACGTCGAACCTGGGGCAGGACTGCATTGGTTAGAGTTGTTAGCTTTCCCTCAGGATGCAGCGAAGTGGATAGAAGAATGGCATTAAGGCAAGCAAAAGAGGGTATAACCAGGTGGAGTTTGATGAGTGTTCCATACTAAGAAGATAACTAACAATGTGTACATTTGCACCAATGCTATTGGTTTTGAACTTCATTACAGAATATCCAGTCACTCACAATACATAATCATCTCGAGTGACGATCTAGTCTGCTCCTTAAACTGTCAAAAGCCTGAAGCCTCCTTGTACTTCTAATGGCAACGTCTTAGAGTCGGACACTAGGACGAAGCGGACTGATACGCGTCAAACTTATTCCGCGACCTGCAGTCGTATATTTCGACGAGACCATAGGTAGGTTGGAAAGTGCCAAGTGAGCCCTTTTAATCCTAGCTGGGAACTTGTCGGCGATCAGTTCTTTTCGGTTGATGTGACTCCGAAATTCGATGGAGTTGATAATGCTTTTCACTAGTTCATGACATATGACTAAACTAGTCAGTACAGACCAGACGTGGAACATCATCTTACATTTGATAGATATTAAATGTATGCCGGCTAGGCACACTCAGATATTCGCTCAAGGCGTAAGAAGACTACAATGTCTTCTAAGTTAAGACTTTAACGTCGTGCGAGTAAGTAAATTCCTAACAAGTTGGATGTACTAAAAGTCGATCACACGCAATGCGTGGTATATGTCCTTAAAATGACAGCAAGTGAGGATTGGACACGTTTGGTGATATGACAGAAAATTAGTAACAATAGAGCAATTCTCTTTTGACGTCGATGAAAACAGTATTTCTGACGAGCTTCATTTATTTTGGTTGAGTATCGTTAAAAACCTGCAAGAGTAACGATATTGTTTGGTTATCACTACCTACGTCTCAACATACTGTATGAAAAATACATATCTTAAGCTACAGGAAATCGCGCCTAGTAGTTGTCACTGTACTTGCCGGAAACCTAAATATATGCAGCACAAAAGAATTGTTTGGGAACTTAATGAACATCTGTCACCATCAAGTTAGATGCAAATATTTGCTATAATCTACTTCAGTAGCTCTATAACTTTGTCTATGATGAGCTGTATGGTATCTCACATCATGTAGACTACATCATAATCGGTTACCGATGGTGAAGGTGTGCATGAAGAAAGTTTTTCTAAGAATATGGATAGAGAGATTTTAACTGTTGTTTGGTGTTCGAATGACTTACAACGCATTCCGGTGACCAACGAAATCACCATCCCAAGAGGATAACTATTATCACGTAGTTGCACTGTATCGCAACTGGAAACTAAACACGTAGACTTGAGCATAGCTTTGAAACCACCAAGTGTTGCGCGAATGTCCTGCATAACATTACAGCCTATTGACGCTATGTCATTACCATCGCGACAGTCTTTTGGTCATTGGTAAGGCGATTGCTTAAAATGTAGGGACCCCTCCAACCGTAAACATATTCACCGACCCCTAACATGAGAATTCGAGGTAATCGTGTAAGCTTTATATCGCACCGGAAACATTCTACTTTATTAAGCTGTCGAATACACTAACTCGAGAAATGTGATGATGTCTTACATGCCTAAAATCTCTCTAATCCAAACTTTAAAAAAACAAATACTATTCGTATTCTACTCCACGACTCATTCCATAACCGTTTTTATCTATGTAAGTGTTTGGAGCTTTTAGTATCCTTTTCTTCTGAATTTACACACTCAAATATTTTGTACAGTAAGAAGACTGTGTTGATTTTACGTAACAGTATTTAGTGGTTCGGAAATTACGAAGAATGTGCCTACTTGTATTCGGGATTTACTAAGACGAATTTCCAAACGCTGTTGTTAAAAAAGCGTGAAAAGTGACAGTCACTATGGTTGAATTTTCCTACATCTGTAAAACGACGGAAAGTATCATGGCAAATGAGCTCAATCAAAATTGTTATACAGTAGCATGACATCACTAATCAGCACCAACATTATGAGTTTCACAGTCGGTTGCCCTTGAAATATGTCAAATTGGTTTGAAGAACAATATATTTAGTCTAGAGATATCCATTTAAGTCGTGGTTGCATTACACTCAAGGTTTACCTTTATGATGAACCTATTACTGATAGCGATGAAGAGAAGAGCTGTAAATATTGAATGACTAATGTAAGATATCACTGACAATATCACTCTCTTGAAAAATTGGTTTGGCGACATTGTTTAGAATCAAATAGTCCTTGTTATGAATTTAGCGAACTAAATTTGTCAAACTCACTTAATGTACTTATAGCAATCCGATAACACAAGTACTTTTTATAGTAAGTTATACGGAAAAAATTATAAATAGTTGAGGGGCAGGAGAATGAGTTCAGCCCAAATAGGGAGGCGATATTGAACGTTAAAACAACAATAAACTTAGAAGTGATAGTTGATTAACCTTGAGTTTAAAACTGAATTTACCAAGGAGGGTTTAAAATGACTGGGCTTTATAGATTGGGCTACATGAAGATGCTAATTTAAGACACTGTAGCGTCAAGTAACAGTCAAAACCAATACCAGCGGAATTGACAATATTTAGAGTTATTGATTATATTCACCAACAGACCTCTCAGACCGAAGAATCATTGTTAGAGCATCCACACCTTTCAACATTTTGTTACTGTACGTCGCTTCACTAACATAAGATGCCCTAATCAGCAAATTCATGCATTTCGGTTTACTAGTATATGGTTCATACCTGACTACGTAGTTATGTACTTAGTTTAACACGTGTGTATTTGTCAAGACTGCGTGGGACAACTCGTGAAGTTGTGAGCTCGTCCTTCTTTCACTTGTGCACACATTACTTACAATACATATAGTACGTTCGTGCCACCGACATCAGTTCTGAAACACATCACCTAGTTTCCAACTACTGGTTTCTCTTATCCCACTGACCCCAACCGCCTAGTCTGCATCTCCCAGCATGACTCAAGCTAACACTCAATGACTTTATGCGATGATGACATGTTCGAGTCTGGCCGATCCAAGCCTTTTCCCAGTTTGAACCTACTTCGCCCAACATTGTGTGACGAGGCAGACAGTGGCTAGGCATGTATCTCCGTCGATGAAGGTTCAAAACCACATCAACTGATCTACCTCTCCTGCTTAGAACTCTGCGCCTGACTTCTGCGTT